GTTAATTAATTAAGCTACATAACCATTTTAAGTAATCAGCCATGTATTGCATTGTGTTCATGTATGTTTATATTTGACATGTCAGTTTTCGAATGCAATTACTTTAAAACTTAAATGCTTACACTTACAGCTCCCTGCACTTACAAAGGTCACGCATAAACTGCCAAATATTAAAATGAATATATTCAAGGAGCTAATTAAATGAAAGTGAATTGTTTTCATATCTACGTTTGTTTGGGGGGTATCGTGTAGCCCCATGGTATTTATATCAATACATGGGAACTTATGGGTAATTTGATAGCATGTCCGGTAATCGAGCTCTGACTTCCGCTTCCAGACAGTGTCCGTCAGTATTTTGACAGCAGGTCCGATGACCTAACCTTGGGTTTCAGACGGTACGGTGTCCGTCAGTAATGTGATAACAAGTCCGGCAATTGAGAATCGAGTAAACATAACATTTTTCGGAGGAATGTTGTCACCTCAAATAGCGTCTCATTAATTTTGCCGAAATAATTATTGGTATAATGGGAATTAATGCATAATATTAAGTTGATAAATAATACAGAAACACGCAGTAAGTTGCTCCTGATACTAAACTGTTCAAAAAATGGTACAGCAACCGTTTTTTTCTTTTTTCTTTATACTTACTTTATTTCAAAATTGTAATGAAATTTTGGAGTTTTTGTAACTGATTCGAAATTCTAGATAATCTCATACAGTTGTTTATATGGAGGTTTTCGTGATGCAACAATTTGTTTATGCACATTCTTCAAACTGATACTCGTATTGCAAGATGTATCACAATTATCATTTCAGAATGTGGGCTTTAAATCCAGCCGCTTTGGGGCTTAAGCCCGGTAAGTGTTGTCCAGGAGATCGTTTTGTTTTCATTTTTTGTTAATGTGCAATTTCTTCTAAGAGACGTGTGTGTGGAAATACCATGCCATTGTGCATGTTACTTGTAAGTTTCAATATTATTTTCACCCACACGATCTGTTTCTAGCATAGATTCCCTCCCCGGTGGTTTATATAGTTTATTTCCACTGAGCAGTAACAATATCTCGTGCAATTAAACCGCTTTTCATGTTGTATATTTTTAAGTTTCTCTTTGTAATGGATATCATTACCATTTGTAATGTAGTGGACTTTCTGGGTCACAAAGTCTAGTCACAGCGTGTACGCCCAGCAAGAGAAAAGCCCTCGAGTGATCACTGCAATCGATGATAGAAGCGTTCACATGGTGCGGTACAAGCAACCGTTTTCTCTAAAAACAAAATTTCACACATCATGATTTCAATCAGGCTATTTATTTCTTTTTTCTTTATTTAATATTGAATTTAAATACTAATGTGTGTCTTTGATGAAAGTACTCTCACACGTGATTTGAATTACACGTACGCACTAATAATTCCAAGCGCATGTGTAATATTAGGCTAATGCGCCAGGTCAACACATAACATGGTAAGCAATTCCCGGTCTTCTATATTGTGTGTTGAGTTTCAGGCCATTTTAGCTGCGGGGAACTCATACCAATATCGAATAAACCTAACGAGAGATGTGTAAAAAAATAGCTGTTTATTATAATTACATAGTGTGAGAAAATAAATAAGCAAAAATGATCCCGAAATCACTGGATATGATTACGTATTTTTTAAAATAGCGGGAAGGGTATTATGACATTTTTGAATAAAAAATCCTCTGTCTGTTACCTCATTCAAAACTTTTATTTACAATGTATTTTTGAAAGCCAAGATATAGAGGAACAAAAATGAACATACCAGATAGACGTTTATTCATATAAGTGTCACATGACAGACGATTGTCAGACCTTATTTAAAAGACTACCCCCCCCCCAAAAAAAAAACACAGCAACAACAAACAATACAGTAATTCCGCTGAAATCATCATTTCTAAGTCCATGTAAATGTGTCCCGACTGTTTTATGCGTTTTTTTATATGTTTACTGAGAAGAGTTTTCCAATCTAATTCACCACATATTATTCCTTGTCAGTTCTGTATGTCAAACCCCAACCAAATTCACATCCATCATTCTTGTAAATTTAAAACATTTGGCTGTTACGTACTATTTGACGGGGATTCCAGGAATAGTTACATTTATTTTTCAAAGTTGCGAAAACAAAGAAATTAAAGCAACTATATGTACTTGTAAACATGACTGATTTGTTCTAATATTACAACAAATGCTTATAAATGTGTAAGTGTAAATGTAACCATTTTAATTCCCCCTGGGGAATTGTATGTGTTTAATAAAGTATAAGTATAAGTATGTTAGAATTTATAAACATTTTTACTACAGAAAATAATAATCATTCTGTGAAAAAATTCATTTCTCACCAAAGAGTGCAAATTTTTGGGGAATTATATGTTGCGTGTGTTGCTAGTGGTATGCTAGGTATCCGTTGCTATGTAAATATGGCAAACAATGGGTAATGTATTGCCAAACTGTTCAGTTCAACGACATTCACTGAATGTTTACCAAAGGTCATAGTTCAAGTGCGTCTGATAAGACACAATAAAAAGGCAAACATGTTGGGGACGTAGAACTAGCTGTGCTTTATTTTTTAATATACTGGTTTGAGTAGCATTCCAACGAAATTGAGATTTTTGTGATTTATCTACGTTTGAACATGGAGGTAAAAAACAGATTACCTCCATGGTTTGAAGAAGTGTTTTTATGTTTTTCCCTTCTCTTAAAACAGTGTCAATAAAACAATCAACTACTTATTTTTCTGGACTGAATTGGACAAATTTGTTGTTATGCAGAATACGTGCGTGAACGAGTCAAGCACTGACTAGATTTGAATTGAAGTTCGCTGACCCTAGCCACGGTGGTATCAATCGAATATTGCCACAATTGCCGTATAATAGGTTGTAAAATACTTTAATTTAGATTAATTTTACCTGAAAAGACATTGTAACTGTTTTGTATCATGAATTTTATTTCACTGATTTTTGATGAGTTGAATATAAAATATAGAAAACAAGCATTTTCACTAGTTCGCTTCTCTAGCAAAAATAGACAAAATAATTATTCCAAGTCAAATAAAAGTACTTTATAGTATTGAATATGTCCTGGGCGGCGTCACGTGACACTGTACTAGGACATCTGACTGAGTAATTTGTAAATTATAATATCACTTAGACAATATGTACAAATATAAAAGTAGTACTGAAATTATAAGTGATCATATCGACGTCACGTGATACACATTTCATGTTGTAGTTGATATGATTCATGTTATTGAATAATTATGAATAAATATCATAGGTTGACCCCGATCAGATGACTGGGGTCACGTGGTGGCACCCAAGTGTATCTCTCCAGGGGCCACCAGTATGAATTTTAACGTTTGAAATCAGAGCGTTTAATACAAACTAAAACCAGACTGTGTTTGAATAGTGCCGGTACTTCTGTTAGTATACTTGCCGTACATATCCATACACTGTTGGCTAGGCATTGTTTCAAGTCAGACTAATTGGAATTCTCAGTCATTTCCTTCCACGTCTAGACCATAGTCCCCCTTCTCGTGCACAGTGTACAGTTACTTATATGACGAGATGTCACTCAGACTGCTTCAAAGCCACTTTCGTTTTTTTTAGTGAGAAGCACAGATTCTTAGTTATAGAAATCAATGGGGGCTGTGGTTTCGAGTAGAAACAAGCAGCCTGTCGACTGAGATAGCTTCGCTGTTAGCAATGCACATTTCAATTAAAGAACTGAAGATATCATTAGAAAATAAACAATATGTATAGTACATAAAGCAATCGGACTAACTGTTTTCAACAATATTCGAAAATATCACTTGTTATCAAAATTAGAGAATCAAAGATATCATCTCGAAATGAACAAATCTGAGAGAGGTCTACCTGTAGTACCTATATATATATATATATATATATATATATATATATATATATATATATATATATATATATATATATATATATATATATAATATCAAAGCAATCAGACTTGTGGTTTTCAAGAAAGAAGTTGAAAGAAGATTTACACGCAGGTGGCATATGGAGGTGGAGTATTCCACGTTATTTTTTGTTTGCATTTTATAATGACACAGCTGTATTGGTATAGGTCACATAACAGACAAACTTCTATCAACTATTTCAAAGCATAATATACTAGTATACATTTTGAAAAAAACAACAAAAAAAGAGTATATTGCACTCGACTCAACCATCTATTGTTATATTGACCTGTGTTACTACCATATTGCTCTATTGAAAAAGTTAACAGAAATATATGGCCAACCTGTGCAATATGTATCTACAAGTCGGTGTGCATTGTCTTGTGGTCGCCATAGTTACGCCACTCATATCGCTGATATGAACGTTTAGTTATAAGACCCCCGTCGTTTTAAATCCACCGGCTTAACTACTAGTATCTAGTATGAAGAACACATTATGGGAAGCAGCGACATCAGGGCAGTGCAGAGTGCTTTAACAGTGGCGG